GGCCTGCCCCGCGAACAGGGCGGCGCAGCGGGCACTGCCGCCGCTGCCGCGCGCGTTGCCGGGCTGCGCCAGTGCTGCAGCAGCTGCAGGCGGGGGGCCCTGCGGCTGCGCGCCTGGCTGCGCGCCGAGCACGCCCCGGCGGCCGCGGCGCCGGCGCGGCGGCCTGCGGGCCCGAGGCGCCACGCCTGCGCTGCCGTGGTTCACCTAAGGGCGGCCAGCTCCACCTCTGCCAGCAGCCGCTGCGCGACGCCCAGCGCGCGCAGGCGGTTGTCCCGCCCGGCGACCAGGGCGGGCGGCGGGAGCCGCGCGCGCGCGGCTGCGCCCGCGAGCCGGTCAGCTGCTGCGTTGCCAAAGCGGTCTCCGTCAGCCAAGCCTCGCGCCCGGGCGCTGGCTGCGTCGAGATGTCCTTTAATCCATCGCGCGACGAGGGTCCCGCTCTGGCAGTAGGGCGCCAGCAGCTCCCAGACCTCGGCGTGCGCCCATTCCGCTGGGTTTGCCCCCGCCCGGAGGGCCGCGACCCCGTTGCTGACGAACCGGGAGTCCGTGATCACCTCCACGGGGCCCGCGGCGAGGCTCAGAGCATGCAGGGCGGCCGTCAGTTCCGCCCTCTGCGCCGTCTGGGGCCCGTCGACCGGCCCGCTGCAGTCCTGGGTGCCGTTGGGGCCGTCGAGCCGTAAGCCCCAGCCTGCCCTGGCCAAGAGCGGATCTGTCGGCCGCTCGCAGGCGCCGTCTGTCCACGCACGGCGCCGTGGCGGGCGCTGCTGCGGGTCGTGCTGGCCGGCGGGCAGCGGCGGGGGCGGAATGGGCACGCGGGCGCCCTCGGCCAGAGCGCTGAGGACCGGGTCCTCCGAGAGGACGCCCGTGCAGGCGGTTCCCGGCGGCAGGGCCGCGCGGAGGCCTTCCGGGCGAAACCCGGTGCCGCGCAGAGCAGTCGCTCGCGCCTCCTGCCAGCACGGACACCGCCAGAACCGGTGCTCTGGATCCTCGTCGGCCACCCGGCAGTGGGGGCACAGCGCCGGTTTGCCCCACTTGGCTGCCACCGACTGCGTGACGACGCCGCCCGCAAGCACCGTGCGCAGCGCGCCCGCCAAGTCTGGCGCGAGCTTTCCTTCCTCGAGCAGCCTGCGCGTGGCCCAGCGGTCCACCCCGCCAGCGAGGTGCCCCATGTCGCCGCGGCGGGCGGCAACTGCGGCTGCTTCGCGGCGGGCCCAGGCGGCCAGGAGCACGCCTCGCGTGCAAGGAGTGCTCTGCGGGGCGCCACCCCGCCGGCACGGCCGGGACGCCTGTCCAGCTTTCGACGTCGTGCCCAAGCCGGAGCTCCGCAAGGCTGCGCACGGCCGCCGAGATCGGCCCATTCTGCCGCCCGTGCCCCGCCGCGATGGCGCCGGCCGCGCTGCGCCACCGCTGTGCTGGGAAGCGGCCGCGGCGGATCGCCTTCGCGATGTGCCAGAGCGGGGCGATGGCACAGCAGCGGGGCGGCCCTCCACACGGGGCGGCCGCGCAGCAGCAGGCGAGGCCCTGCGACCGTCTCCTCCTCCCGATGCGGCTGCGCTGGCGGCAGCGGCCGCAGTAGCAACGGAGCGTGCCTGGCAGCGGCTCCGCTTGCCTTTGGCAGCCAGGATGAAGCGCTCGGCGTCGGGCTCGGGCTGGCTGGCCACGCGCCTGACCGCCCACGGCACGGCGGGGGGCTTTGGCATGGCAGCCGAAGCAGCGCGAGCAGGTGCAGTAGCTCCACTGTCCGCACGAGTACCATCAGTAGGAGCCGTCGCCATTCTCACTGCGAACCCCACCGCCAGCAGACCCACCAGCAGGAGGCACCCTCCCGCCGCCGCCGCGCGCCAGCCAATTCTAACTCTCCGCCGGACATCACCTTGGCCCGAGGCGCGGGGCCCCTCGCGCTCGAAGCGCCGTGGACGATTCGCGGTCGTCGGGCGCTCCATGGCCTCGAGCCGAAACGGCTGCGGACGGTCATGGCATTGGATGCAGAACCCTTCGGTAAGGCGCCCGGCGTCTGGAAGACAGTGGGGTTCCATTCGTGGACTGGCCATGGATATCACCGCCACCCTCATGAGATAAGGAACCCCCCGGCGTCTGCAGTCTCGCCGGCACAGGTCCTCAACGAACGCCCCTGCCGTATCGCGGCGATCATGGGCATTTGTCACAAGACTCGTCGACCGGCGAAGTCGCCGCGATCTGGGCTCGAACAGGCGAACGGGCCCGTGAAACATCCCTCGTGCACACCCGCTCAAGTACATGACCTGCGACATCGCGGTGGCCACGGGGCTCTCGGAAGACACTCGTCTACTGGGCCAACCCAAGCGGGTACTCTGCTTGGCAGGTCCCCACCACAATCTGGGAACCGGCCCGTGAGACACCCTTGGCCGACACCTTCCTATGTGGCTCGAATGCCACGCCTGCTACATCGTGAGAAGCAGAAGACTCCGACGAGGGACCTGTATAGCGCGCTGGGCGAAAACCACGGGCGACGCGACACCCCACTTGGATGCTCGAATCTCGCTCCTGCTGTGAACAGACGTCATAGCCCTCTGTATCAACACAGAGGTCACCACAACCTCGACGCAAACGAGCCCGTGGCGCACCCTTGCCTGCTCGGGTGACCCACGGAACACCACGGGCCGATGTCCTCTGGGATGGCATCGCAGATATCATGGAGCTGTGATTAAGTCGGGCCTGTCCCCCTACAGGAGGATCTTCGAGGACAAATTTTTAAATAGTCAGAAATATTCAAAACTGGCCACCAAATATTCAAAGCATCGTCCCCAGACTATTTTTTGACTATCTTTGAATATTCCTCCTGTAGAGGGACAGGTCCGACTTAAAGCTATGAAAGAAGGCACTCGTGCACTGGGAAACAAACGTTTCGCCAGAGAGATCTCCACAATCTGAATGCGACCCCTGGTCGACACACCCCCTTGGGGGATTTTCCAGGCTGATGCCCCCGAAGAGAGAGGAAGGCCACCTCCCCCCAGCCTCGTCAGAGTGAGGGGGCCGAGCGGTCACTCACCGTCCCTGGGTACGTGGCTGAAGTGGGGCTCCGCGGCGAGGATTATGCTTGTTGTTGTTGCGTTGCGAAGATGCTGTCGTCGTCCCCACCCACCCACGACCCGCCCGCGACCCGCCCGCGACCCGCCCGCGACCCGCCCACGACTCGTCCGCGACCCGCCCGCGACCCAGCCTGCGACCCACCCTGCGACCCATCCGCGACCCAGCCCGCGACCCGCCTGCGACCCACAACCCAGCACGCGACGCACCCAGATTGCTGTAACGGAAAAAATCGGCGCCTGCAGCTGGCTCTTTGCCTACTTTGTTAAAATTAGGCGCCTGCGGCGGGCTTCCTTTGAGCCTCGCAGACTGCCGGCGTCCCGCCGCCCCCTCACTCTGATCCGCGACTGCGGGGTGCGACGGAACGGAGCCTTCGGCCTCCCCCACTCGCCCCGTGTGAAACGGAACACCTCGCCTCGCCTCAGACTTCGGGGCCGCCCCCACTTGCCATCGCTCGGACGTCTGGTAGGTGTGCATGCCTCAGCTTCGGGCGTGCACTTCTTCGCGAGATGATCCCAGACGCTCATCGATGGTCCTGGCCGGGAAAAATGCACACGTCCGATCGATGCCAAGCCTCCCTCCATCCCTCCTCCCTTCTCCCTCCTCCCTCCTCCCTCCTGCCCCTATTCCTCCTCCTCTTCCTCCTCCTCCTCCTCCTTTCCTCCTTTCCTCCTCCTCCTGCTCCTCCTCCGTCTCCGTCTCCTCCTCCTCCGTCCCTCCGTCCCTTTCCTTCCCTCCCTCCCTTTTCTTCCTCCCTCCCTTCTCCGTCTCCCAGTGGATGAGCCCCGCGCCTCGCTCGCGCTGCGCGGCCGCGAGGGGCGCCTCTGCGCCGCACTCCGCGCCGCGCCCCGCGCGGCGCCCCGCCAGGGCGCCGCCTGGCACCGCCTGGCCCGCGGCGGGGGCGGCGCTGCACGGCCCGCTGCGGGGCCGCGAGCTCGGCGGGGGCGCGGCGGGCCGTGCGAGCGGCGCAGGGTCTGGAGGTCGGAGAGGGGTGTGTGACTACCTACCTACCAGACCACCCCAACCCAACCCGAAGACCCGAATTTCGGGTTGGGGGGGGATAAGGGTTTCACACGTGTTTTTTTCGATGTGTCCCGACCCCCCCCACTGGAAATCGAGGGTAAATCTGAGCCTTCGGGTTGGGTTGGGGTGGTTTGGTGGGTGGTGAGTGTGGCACGCGTGGAAGCCCTCACGTCCGACGTCTCGACTTTCTCAGGACACGGGCCCCCGACCTCCCGACCACCTCCCTGGGAAGGGCCTCCCACCCCCGAGGCGCTGCTCGGCGGTCCCGAGGCCCCGCGAGGGCCCCGAGGGACCCACAACTGCGGCGGACCTCCGCCTCGATGTTGCTCGAGACGCCCGATGTGTGGGACCGGCGATGTCATCTACGATATATATCTATATATATATAGATAAATAAATACATAAATACATAAATAAATAAATAAATAAATAAAAAAAACCTCGCCAGAGCCAGCATTGGCACCACACTCCTGTACACCGCACCCCTTTCCCACCCCCAGAGGAGGCGGCCGCGCGGGCCCTGAGGCCCGGGGCGCTCGGTGCGGCTGCAGCGGGCCCCAGGGCCCGCTTCCTCGGGCGTCTGCGCTCTGGTGAGCTCACGGGCCTACGACCGGAGCGGCAGCCCTTGGCCCCGCAGCCTCGGAATCCTCGGCCCCTCTTGAGCATCGCTGGACCCATCTCCATGCCCACCGGCGTGGCCTGGGCCCATTGGCCGAGTGAACCCCGGACATTGGGAGATGAGTTGGGCTGTTCCCTTCGGCTTCCGAACGGGGTCTCTCCACAATTGGGGTGGTGGGATGGTGGGGCTGACAAACCATGGCCCGGTGGGGAGGGGATGGCTCTAAGAATACTGGCTTCTCCCAGCGGGTGGCGCAGCGGAACCACCTCCGCCGCGGGTCGGCCCAGCGGCAAGGCTAGCGCTCGTGCGGCTCCTTGTAGGGAACTTGCAACGCCTCGAAGATCTGCCGCTCGGAGCCGACGAGGACGCGGTCGTCGGGGTCGTCCTTGCTCGCCAGGCAGTACTCGTTGAGCACCATGCCCTTCTCGATCGCACGCAGCCGCATATCAATGGACAGCGAGCGGGGTCCTGTAAAGTAGAGCATCCCAAAGTAGAACTGGTCGCGCGGGATGTACCTGATATCGAGACGACGATGAAGACGCCCTGGCCCTGGCAACTTGCACACGCCCATGTACTTGCTCGGGCCAGATGCCAAGTCGTCCGTGATGAGGCTGTTCGCGCGAAGCGCATTGACGAAACGAGTCAGCAAATCACCAGACGTCGCCTGCTTCAGTCGCGGAATCGCGGAATTGCTCGTGTAAGTGTCGCTCGTGATCAGACAATCGATATCACCACACTCCGCTTTTCCTCGCCGGTAAGACCCGCAAATGACGACAACCAAATCCTGAGGTCCATCAACACTGGCTGCCAAGGAGTCTCGTGCATGCAGAATGGCAACCTCGATTTCCTGCGCCTCTGCACGAGGAATCCTGATCCGGAGCTCGTCTGCCAAGCGCAAGCCTACTCGCTGGACTGCGCTGAGTGTTACTGAGCCCGCCTCGACACTCTCTCGCAGCTGCGCGAGGCTGTGTACGCCGTGCTTCTCCATGAGCTCCGCGGCGAACTTCGGCCCGATGCCATAGACAGATCGCAACTCCCGCACCGATATCACAACCGGGTCCTGCCTCAGCTCAGCTAGCTCCTTCAGCTCCCCGGTCTCCAGCACCTCGTCCAAGCGCCTGGCCATGCCCGCGCCAACGCCCTGGATCGCCTGTGCCTCGCTGCCGCTCAAGATCGCTGCAGGGTGTCGCCGCAGTGCGTCCGCCGCGCGCGAGTAGGCCATGCGCCTGATCCTGTCACCCTTGATGCCACGGATCGGGGGTTGCTAAAGGTGTCCCTGGACCACGGTGTCCCCAGCTGCTCGCTGCATCCTGGCAGCCCCCGGAGCAGTCTGGGCTTCGCGAGGGGTGCTCTGGAGGCCGCGGGGGCCTCTTCAGCAATCATGAGGACTCCCTTAGAGGCCCCAGGAGGGGTAAGAGCAGATGGGGTCGGAGGATCAAGCCGCATCGAGGCTGCTTCACCGATGCATTGACGAAGTGTCGGCGATGCATCGGCGACATCGGCGTGGAGAAAAAAATGGGACTCCGCCTCGAGCCGCATCGCCGAGGCACTGGCGACGCGGCGCGCTCCTCCGACCCCCTCTGGTCTGACCCCCTCCCGAGATAGTTTTGTTTTGGATGTTACTTCCGGTAGCGGTCGTTACCAGGGGGGTCTCTGGCCATGGCTCGGACGTCCATTCCCTGTGTGTTTTTGGTCGGTTTCGTGCGTGGTTTTTTCGGCAAATGATCAAGGATGCTCCTCGATGGTCCTCGCCGAAGGAAAAATGCACACGTCCGAGCGATGCCGAGGTCTGGTGCCTCAGATGCAGGGCGGCGCTGGAGCGGGGTGGGGCACGTCGGGACGGGGGTGCGCTGCGACCGCCGTGGCCTGCGCGCGGGCACCCGCGTGTGGGGGAAGGGGTCCGGGCCTCCTTCCCCCCCCCCCCCCTGCGTAGTACAGTCGGGGCGTTGACCTAAGGAACCCTAGATAAGGAACGAGGCCCCTTTTTTCATAAGTTAAACTTCGACTTCCTATCGAAAACAGAAGGAAAACCTGAGGCAAGCTGTGAAACACTTAAGGAACGCGGAGCCCCTCCCCAACCAAAAGGGTTCCTTTTTCAGGGCCCCGACTGTACCCGGGTTGGGGGGGGCGGAGTAACAATCGTTTGGGGGGGGGGGCGGAGTAACGATCGTTGCAATACGCGCCAGGGGGTGGAACAGAATCTGGGGAGGCCTGGGTCCTGAGGCCAGGAACCCTCCACACACGAACGAAGACGGGCCCAGGGGGCCCCACACGAATCCCCCCCAAAACAGCGCGGACCACCGACAAAGATACGTTTACGCTCGTGTTTGCTCTTAGATGTTAGCACCCCCCGATATGGACGACAGCCATCTCGTCGAACACGTCCGCCAGCTCCGCGTTCCCAGCTGTGGGGGGGCAGCATAGGGTGGGGGACCAGCTGAGGGGGGACAACATCGACCTGGAATCGGCGTTACATCGCCGATGGATCGGCGATGAGCCCCCAATCACGAAATCCGCACGCTTCTCGGGCGGGGTGGGCCGTCGGGCCCCTATCGGCGATGCATGGGAGATCGGGGGTCGATGTGTTCCCCCCCGAGCCCTGAGCCTATCGGGCGTTGGCAGAACTGGGTCTAGTGGAATCTGGTTTCGTGATGTGTACCGGGGGGCGCCCCCCCGTCCCATTTCCACTAACCGGAACTGCCGTCACCCGAAAAACGCCAGTTACGGCAAACCTGGTTTAGTGATTCTGGCCAATTTCGGGGCCCCCGGACCATACCACTAACTGGGTCCCCTTA